AAACACCACAATCTCTAATTTTTTACTCTGCTATTGTTACGGCCTCTAGTTACCCGGGCAAAGGTCGTAGAACCCGGGCCCACCAGGGGTTCAACTCGACGAGTAACAGGAGGTCGGCCTAAATGGCTTGTGGAATATGAGACAATAGCGGTTAAAAAGGAACCAAACAAGACTTACCTATTTCGTCGACGTAGGGTCAAACCTAGGAAGATTCAGGTGTAAGTATATGTGTGTGATAGTGTTATGCTCAGTACGTGTTATATTATGTAACCTGACTTCCCGCTGGTTGCCGAACAGCAGATCCCAAGACTTCACCTCTATTCCAGTATGGGATCCATCGAAGGGGCAAGCCGTCACAGAAACTTCAGAGTCTAGGAAATTACGCTCGTTTATCACTCATTAATTATAGTTAAGTCAATTGTCATTAGGTTAATCCAATCAAATTCAACCAGATTTAACCGAACCTGCGTTATAACGAACTCACTATTTGTGAAAAATACTGTATCACCGGACCGCGTCGCAAAAAACTCAGGTTCGCGCAGTACATAGGTCAGGGCGGCCGTACGGCAATTATATTAACAAGACGAGCAACTACTCAGTTCCACGCTCCACGGCAAGATTTGTCACTTATTATTTATTGTCCAATTAATTGTCTTTAAATTCAAATGGCACGCTCTATTAACATAAGTCTAAGACAAAACAAGGAGACTTTCAATATATGAACAACCCGGCTTCGCGCAAAAACTCTCGCGACCCCTATAATGCGACCGGAGAACGTCATCGGCGCAGGCGCCGCGTGCCTAGGTAGGAGCGCGACCTAGCGGCGGGTCGGGTGCAGCCCGGCCCCGCCGTCTACTCCCTAGCTCGGCTCGATGCCAACAGGGGTGACCGACCGCGCGCACAAATGCAGCTAGCTCCCCCTCTCGCACCTCACTAATCGTCGCTTCACACCGTTGAGATAAGACGATTAACAAACAGACTGGGCAAATGATATCTGGCGCTTTGCTTTGTGAAAAAGCATTACAGTTAAATAAAAAATTAGGTGACGGCGGCTCGTTTGTCGCAAGTAACGGATGGTTATATAGATTTATATCTCTTCATGGAATTTAATCAATGTTTATTAAAAAATAATAATTTCTTAATAATTTAAATTGTTGTTTTTAATAAACACATAACATTATGTATGTACATATGTACTACAAATGCACAAAATCCGCTTTTCTTCATACATTCTATCATCCGGATTTTCGATTATCCGAATCCCTAACGGCAACAATTAGTCCGGTTAATCGAGTATATATATATACATATTGAGAATCTAAATTGAGAATTTAAACTATAGCACATTTAAAATATAGTCCACCTAGCAACACGATGCGCCCCGCACTGAATTCGTGGACGAATGCGGGGGTGATATAGACGCAGTATTTAATCGGGACGCATTTTTAATTTATTATCATAAAAATAATACATATTTCTAAAAAGTAACCAAACCAAATTATTTTATTTTGTATTGCAAAGCAGTAGATATTTTTTTTATATTCCTTTGATAAACAATGAAGGAGTAAAGTGGTTTCATCTCAACGATTTGGAGGTGATTTGGGTATTTTTTTTATTTATTATGTGACACCGATAGAAAAATTATGGCTAAACCAAATTACGTATCAGATCATGTAGATTACTAGCTATTTTTTTCATACATACATATACAGACATAAAAATAAAATAAAAACTTATGATATTTCATTCACAAAATAAAATTTGTTGTCAGTAAGTACACTTTATCAAGATCCCTTAGAAACAAAGGGCTGTACAAAATAAAATAAACATTTAAATGTTATGGTTATTGTTTCTACTTATCGAAAATCTTATCGGCTTCAAATAACTGTAACTAAAACGTGAGAAATATAAATGTTTATAACAAGTGCCCCCAGCTGAGGTGACGACAGAGGCCCTGGTACAAAACTGTTTTTTGTTACGGCAGGCGTGGTTCTGGAAAGGTTAAAGAAATTGCACATTTACTTTTCACATAGATATTAGTACTGAGAAAAGTAAAGTTGTAACATTTAATAAAATTCGTCCATTTAACACTAGAATAATTTATAATAATACATTTTTACCAATAGTAAGTTAATGATTTCTTAAATTTACGCGAACACTACACATTGAATAAAACTAAATTTACGGATTTTATCGCGTTTATTTCATTACTTTTACATATTTTTAATTCCCGAAGTTTCAGGTGCTTTACAGCACCCATGGTTACGGGGGGGACTGAGATGTTTGACTTCCCAATGTCATAGTTAGTCCGGCTACCTTCAGTTTTTGAATATAAATTTTTGGTCCGATTTACGCAAAACGAGCTTATAGTATCATGAAGTCTTGCAGTGGTATGCTTAGGTTTGGGTTTAATTTTGTTAATTATAGGATCCCAAGCAGGTGGCAGCACCCGTCCATCTTCTCTATTGAAATTTGGATGTTTTTTAATTTCAATAGCCTCGCGTATCATCCTTGGTAGGAATTTTTTTGGTTATTACAGAAATGATAACAGCATTAATGTTAAATTTTTACGTGAAAGTTTTACGATTTCCTTAATTGCATGAAGTTCTCTCCAACCTGGCATCATTGCAGTTGAGAGAATACGACAAAGTTAAAGAGTTATCAGTTGTACGTAATGTAAAATAATTTTGGACCATTACTTTTGTCAGGGTAATATCCTGAGTTTTTCTTAAGTTGTCAATTTGGTTGACTCAGGCTTTGCTTAGCGCGCACTCAGCACGACTTCGAAGTTAGTTCTATAAATACCGACATTGTCTTAGCTCGAAAGTAGAGTCTGAGCAAAGTCAAAGTACGGTTTATAGATCTCAGCCTAACTGACGTTTGACATCAATCATTTGTGAAATTTATTTTGTAATTGCGTGTTATTTACCAATTTGTATGAAAAGTTTAAAAAATATATCTCATGAACCGTAAGTTTCCGCAACCTAAAACTTTGCAAAACGCTTTCTTTTAGTGAGTACTATTTACAAAAAAAGTATGGGCTTTGAAATCGATGGTCCATATTGGAAATATTAGCCAGTATGTCTCCTATATCTAACTCAGCCCCATATGTACTCCATGACTTTCATGAAGTGATACGATATGATGAACAATATAATATTCACAAAAGCATATATACTTGGCCTTGTTATAAGGGGAATTATTAAAGTAAATTCAGTGATATACACATAAGCATTGATGAAAAATTGAAAAGAAAAGAAGAGATTTATGAACTTATATCTACATATGATGAATATCGACAAATTTACAGATGGTTCAAAAGTAGAAAATAAAGTAGCCTGTGCATTTTACGCACCTCATCTGAAAACTGGACGTGGCCTTTCCATTCCTGCATCAGTAAGCATATACTTACTGATGCAGGAAAGGAGAGCGATTAAGACTGCATAACACTGCAGAATGTTATGCTGTCTTAATCGCTCTTAAATATATAAAACACCCACATGTATCTAATAAGTGGTTACTGATATCTGATAGCATGAGTGTCTTGAAGGCATTGAAGGTAAGAACTTTAGATGCTAAAACGTCTTTCATCGTATATGAAATCAAAAGTTTGTGGTGGAAATTGAAAGAAAATAATTTGGAATTAAAATTTTTATTGACTCCGTCACATATTGGTGTACAGTACAAGGAAAAGAAAGCCACCATAGATTACTGACTATGTACTAGAGAAAAGCCACTCTGTGATGAAAGCACAGACTATTTAGCTAAAAGTATAGTCACTGCTGATATTGACAGGATAACCGGTGTTGCAATACCACACATACCACACACAGATATATTCAATTTTAAAGCAACAGATAAAAGAAGAATGGAAAATGCAATGGAATGCTGTTTTAGACGCAGGAAAAGGTCGTTGGTATTGGTATCAATTAATTCAGAATTAAGTATTCCTTGGTTTTCTCGCAACGAGATATATCATAACAGAAAATTTTATACAATAATGTGCAGACTTAGATTTGGCCACTATCCACTGAACGCTCATCTTTCCAGGATGAGAATAGTAGCACCTGCAATATGCAACTTCTGTGATACAGAAGCAGATCAGAATGCAGAACATGTAATATTTAACTGCCCAGCGTACGCCATAGAAAGATTGCTAATCATTGAAAAACTTATACAAATTTATGAAAACTCAGAGAGCGTCCCGCGTGCCCTGCAAGATGTTTTTAGGAATACTAAGACATATTTAGCACTTTGAAATTTTATTCATAATACTGTAAAAGAAATATGAAATATGGTATTCCTGTTTTTGTAAATATTGGAGTGATAAATCTATGTGGATTGAAACTTATAAAGATTATAATATAAAGAAGACTTGGCTTTAGCCTTTATGGTTTTTGAAAATATGAAGAATTAAAGAAAATAAGACTTGGATTTGGCCTTTATAGATTTTGAAGAGATGGAAAGAAGAAAAATAAGACTTGTTTTCGGCCTTTATACTTCAAAGTTCTATATATTCAATATAAAAAAGACAAGGCTGTATGGCTTAGTTCTTTTGCCTGGTCTCTCGAGCGAATAATAAAAACAACAACCGTCAAAGTTTGCATCAACGTCACTAACGTCAAGTCAGTCAGTCACAGTCAGTTAGTCTCATTTACTCTTGTGGATTAGTAGTATTTTCCCTTGTTTTCGAGTTTATCGTCTTATGTATACCACTCACGGCTATCTCTCCGTGACAGTAATTTAACTTGTTTTCTATAACTTCGCGACCGAAAAATGATAATTATTTCTAAGTCATCAACATGTTTTGTGTTTCCTCAAAATAAGAACGTCAGTGATGTGTAAAACAGTGTATAGATGATTTGGAACCATATGCTTACGTATTTTACGGCATATTCTTAATGAGCAAGCAACGGAATAAACAATTGAAAGAGTGTCATAAACATCATAGTCTTAATGAGAGAGTTTAGCGATTCATTTGTTACTCAAATGAAAAAAAAATGTCAACAGAAGGAAGCGGAGAGACACCTTCGACGGTGCCAAGTTTGCCGGGGGCACCGGAGCAAACGTACTTATTTCCAAAGGCAAAGGGACACTCAAGGTCTGTAAGTCATGGTGGAACACCGACTCTCAGTGGCAACCTTGCGGCACCGCGGCCGCCTCTCAAATCTGCATTACGTGGACATCAGCGTGCGTTATCCCATGGCCAGATCGGGGAAGGAGGTCGCGCTGCGTCGAGCTCTGGACACAGCAGAACTGGTAGCCGCACAGATTTTATACTACCGCCAGGTCATCGTGAGCCGGCACCCGTCAGTGCACAGCCACGGATCAATTCGCTTCGCGGACATCATTCGCGGCAAGCTTCACGATCCGATTCCATTTATACCATTCGTCGTGATTCAGTTGTCGGCCCTTGGCGGCGGGCCGCGTTCTGGCTGATGCGCCGTCAGCAACCAGCTGTAGATAACAGACATCTAATGGTCACTCCTAACCATCTGGTCCCTGATAAAACTCCTCCAAAGGAACATCCAAATGGACATAGATGTGACAATAAAATAAGAACTACTAAATACACATTCCTCTCATTCATACCTAAAAACTTGTTTGAACAATTCCACAGAATTGCAAATGTGTACTTTATTTTTATAGTGCTTTTAAACTGGGTGCCAGCTATAAATGCATTTGGCAAGGAAGTGGCTATGTTGCCAGTGTTATTTGTGCTTGGTGTTACTGCTATTAAGGACTTATTTGAGGACCGTCGCAGACATCTCTCTGACAAGAGAATCAACAACTCATTTTGTCGAGTCTACAAAAAGTGAGTATTCAGAAATTCCTAATATTTTTTTATTAAATTATATTCTTACAAACAGATCACATAATCAATATCTTAAACCTAAGTAGATTTCTTGTGTTGTATGTTATATTATAATTTAGTTGCATATAAATTTACAAATGGGAACTAATAAAATATGCTCACACTTATTGCCTTTATATTATTGTATATGTTAACTATAATTGTCTTATCTCAACAAATGTTATAATTACTTTTTAATTAAATTTACAGTTACAGTATATATGTTGTTGTTTTATGAATGTTGACTGTCATAATGCATTCAGGATCTTCCTGGTGACTTAAAATAATACAAGTGGTAAAATTATAAATTTTGTATAACCGAATTCAATATAAATAAAATAAGAACATCATCAATGTGGTTGGAAGTCAATTAAATATGCATCACTAAGAATAACCCTAAAACTACTGGTCAGATCTTGAAACCACATGAGAAGTACCAAAAAAAGTTCTGAGGTAACACATAAAAGAAAATACGTTTGAATTGAGAGCCACCTCCATTTTTTTAAGTTGATTGAAAAAACCTAATTAAAAACATAAACAATCAAAAATCATAGTTTTTTTATCAGAAACAAAATGTAGTGAAGGCCCATTTGTCATGAGATCAATCTCTGATGGTTTATGTTTAGAAGCTGAGTTGTAATAGGCTGTATAAATAAGAATTAAAGATCTCACTATAATTTGTGGCATATAACGTCATTCAAAATGCTATGCCAAAGCACATGACCATACTGTGCAATTCAAAAATTGATATTTCTATTCTTATTTGCATTGTCGTTTATATGTATTATGTGACATTAATTAATAAATGAATAATGAAAATTGAATAACCACACAAATATTTTTTCAAAAATTCAAAAAGTAAAACAACCAAATAAATAGCCCTTCCCTTTTGATGTCTGTTAATAAGAACATACAAATCAAAATGCATTCATATCATTTAATTAATCATTGTGTATGTTAGTGGATTTTAAAAATAATTCAAATATTTGAGTAAGTATACCTAGCCTAATACTACACCCAATATATTTCACATATTACATCTTCTTTATCTTTTGTTTTCTTTGTGTGATATTTAAAAACATTCAAAAAATTTGATTAAAACTCAAAAAATATTAATTAATTCAGACCAGATGTTAATTTACTTTAACACTTATCTGTGCACACCAAACGTTTCATGTTTTATTAATTCGGTTAAATTTTAAATGTTTTATAACTTTGTACTGTATATTCTCCTTAATTATAAATTTATCCATTCCAAAATGTATCTTAATGACACCATTCATTTTAATTCAGTAATTATTAGCATGTATGTTATACAAGAAGGACCTTAACAAGTTGGGTTATTTTGAATTATATATATATATATATTGATGTAAATCATAATCCTGTTATACTAAGATATTAAGATTATAAAAAAACCCATAAGCAGTGATATGCTATTTTATAATAATCAGTCAAAACTACTAACACAATATTGCTTTTCTCCTAATGTCGCCATCATTTGAATATATTACACTAGGGGAGAAATAAAAAAGTGTAAAATCAGGCATTACATCTTAGTACTCAGGGGTTGTATTTTTTGATTAGTTGATACTTAATCAAGGATAAATTTACATCTATGGATAGGCCTCAGCGTCCACTTACCATCAGATGCACTGCATGGTTGTTTGTTACCGTTATTAAAATCTAATTGAACCCTCATACTTTCAAAACTCATATTGCTTAGGAAAGAAATTCAGTAATTTGTCAAGTGCAGACATTAAATTAATTAATAATTAAGTAATTTTATGTATGTTTAGAAAAAATCCAAATTACCTAAAATTACTTAATAATTTAGTGTCACCAGATGTTTTAGGATCAATATAATTTAGAGACCTTGAGGAAAATAAATAAACTTTACTTTACAATAACCCAAAGAAAGAAAGTCAAAGGCAAGAAGATTTAATGCAATATCTTAAGTAAATATATCAATGATTTTATTTTACTGTGAGAAAACATTATAAAAAATATCTATCATCATGACAAATGGGCTCCATATGCCTCAAATTTGTAGAACAGTTTTAAGAGCCCTATCAATATAAAGAAGCTTATTACCAATTTAAATGTTAATGTAAAGACTAAAGAGAAAATAAGGAAAACAATATCACTGTTTTCTGAATATAAATAATTGATGCAGTGTTACTTTAACATTTTTCAATAAATGATTCAAAAGATAAGGTTTAAAAAGCATCATGAAGACTTTGTATAAGGGACTACCATCAGCTAAAGTTGCAAAACTTTTTACAACAAAGCATTGCAGCTGTGCCAAAATGCGTGTCAAGTCTAGCTAAAATAGCAATTACCTATATACCTAAGTAAAATTTTGATGGTGCCACTGTACAATTGAACTCCCTGAATGATTGCAGATAGTAATTCATGTTATAAATACATACTTTTATAATGTAATTAATTAATTAATTTAATCTTATGGCATTATTAAGTATGCATGGTCTAAAAGCTTTAATTATATTCTTACTTTTTACTACAGTTACTCGAGTGCTTCGCTAGGCGTTGATTAATTTACTAATAATTATTATAACCAGGCTATTTGATAGCGGCTCATTTCGTACCGAGGGTGTCGTAAAAGACGACTATGGAAAATACCGAAAGATCTCATGACCTTCTTCTGTATGTCTAGGGTAAAATAGCTAGACTGGCGACCTGAACAGACATCTAAGGGTCAATCCTCATTTGCCATTCACAGTTCTTTCTCGGTTCGATCTCGGTCTGATTTAATATAATAGAATGGGATGACCGAAACTTGACTGTTACAGATAGTATGAATGCACACACATGTTTTTTATTTGATGATTTCAGACCGAGAACGAACTGTGAACAGCATTATAATGAGGATCGGCCCTAAAAGCGCAAGACATCTGGTACAGAGATCGCCAATTGACCTGCAAAGCTGGGCAACTATGGCAAATATGCCTGTTATGTGGCAATTTATGGGGGAGGCCTACGTGCAGCAGTGAACTTTTGATACATTGTAATGGGTTCGCCTAGGTGAGATCTAATAATTTGGCCTTCTCCAGGTAATTATGAAAGACGGGAGATTTTAGAGAAGAGATTTTATCAATTTTACGATTATTCCAAAAAAAGTCTCCAAGTTTTTCGGATAATATATAGCCTAGATTACACCTGGCATTGCTCTCTATCTCTCTATTCCTGAAGGTTCATTATAATTGGTTTAACCATTTCAAATATTAAACCAAACCGACTGAAAGACTGAAAAATATTTACAACAATGTCTTAAAAATATTTACTCATGCATATGGCATGCAAATAACCCCCTCAGCTCATAAAAAGTGTTTTCGATATTTCAGACAGATACTTCAATTTTATTTATGTATCTATAGATGTGAAATTTAAAATATGATACAAAAACATTTCTAATTAGTATTTTATTACCTACATTTATTTGTATGATATAAGCTTTGATTGGTATTTCATAAAACCGCCGGTAATCTCTCAGTTATTAATTACGAAATTGCGTACCCGTGTTGGATGATGATTAACAGATAATCGATCATAGCATGTCGAATTGGTCTACTTAGACGACAAGAAGCTGATGTTGTGGAAAGCGTGTAATGAGCGATGGAATGACTTAGCGCTGTATAACTTACAGTTAAAAGAAAGCAACTCAATAGTAAACATAAGTGTGCCTATTTACTGTCAACTCAACTAGGAGTATGTGAATGTTTTGGTTTATGAGCGTGCGTTAAAAAATATTTATTGATAGCACATACGTAACAGCCTGGCCACGGGACATTCGCGGTAGCGAAAATTCGCGCGGCGCGAACGGCGAGGCGTCTAGCGACTAAAACCAATGTGTAGAACTGTATGGTCGATCAGGCCACGCGTAGCGGCGAGTGGCGACGCGACCGGCGTTTACCGGGCGAATCGCGCGGGCGACTGGCGGCGTTGCGGGCGATTGAAACAAATGTATGAATCAATACGGTGCAAGCATACTTTACTGAATATATACTAGAGAGGTGCAAGCCACGGTCAATCGGAATCGGGCGGCAGACGCGGCGAAAACCGGTTAATAGTATAGGGAACAAAATATTTTAGTTGTTTTCGCCGCGAAAAATGCCGGCCTGACAAAAACAACTTAAAATTCTATCCGCATTGACTTTTTTTTATCTCCAATTCTGGTTGATTATTAAGTGGATATAGTAAGTCAGCTCAAATTCTAATTTCGCCCCCACTTCCCCGCGCGTCGTTTCCTATGTACCGACATGTTTGTAATCACTTATACTGTAAGTAGATAGGTCGTTAGATACTTATTTCATTTGGTTTATCATATTTATGCCTGTTTCTTAACGCCAACCCAGTCGCTTCTTATTTTTATCACGGTTATTTCCCATTTTAATTTTACGTCGTCCTGGCGTAATGTGTATTCTGATCGTAAGCGACACAACTGCTCCCTTCAAAAGCCTAAGCGATACTAACGGGGCGACAAGAATCAAGCTTCAAGAGTTCAAGACGCCGATAGTTTAGGTAATTTCCTTTTACAGTGAAAATAATGGTATTTAAAAAAAAGTAAATAACATAAGCACTGCTTTATAGTTAGTTCAGTTAGTATGCAAAGTTTCATGATCTTATTTAAAGTATTTTATGAATAACAGCGGTTTATTGTTCAGTTTGGAGTTAACTTTGGATTTTTTTTCTATCGAGAAAATTTTACGGAATCGTGTTTTCGTCTAACATAGTCCTTAACATTAATCCTCAACTTTACCATATATTTATTTCAAAATTAATGCTGCAATACTTTCGGCATAACGGAGGATCTTGCTAAGCCATTTGAGGTTATATTTCCCCTTAACAAGAATATAATCGCAGGTTTCGACACTTATTTTGGTATTTACTCGAATTTTTTTTTCTAGATGCATTCTATTTGTGCCGTGTAGTGGCGGTTAAGAA